ACAACGAGCGAAACCGTGAGTCTCCCTGGAGATAAATCCACTTAACAGGTCATTTAGACTAATAGGGTGGGAATGAAGGCGTCTGATCGATCTTGAATCCAAACTCACCAATATCATCGGGCTGCTTTCGCGGTCGAAGGGTCCCGTGGCCGAAATGCCATCCCCGCTTGATGAGAATTCCGGATCGCCTGCCATGCCCGAATATCCCGATGACAGGCCGGGCCAAAGAGTCGAGTGGATGAGCGAAGCCTTTCTTCCTGATTCTGCAATGGCTGCCGGCCCGAAGTCAAGCGAGGACCAGAATGCCCTAGAATCTCCGCGGGACGCACCCACTGCCATAGACACCGCGTGGATCACCAACACAGGACTCAACCCCGTCGTCCTCGAGCATCTGCTGGACAGATTCCGCGGCATGGCGTCCTATTTTCCATTCGTGCAGCTTCCATGCGCCTGTACTGCTGCATCAATGGCTGAAAGTCGCCCGTTCCTGTTGCTTGCCGCTGTTGGTGTCGCCTCGTCGGATTACTGTCATCTCCAACACGCTCTCATCGGACAATTCAAGCAATCCCTGAGCGAGCGGGCTATCCTAGCTGGCGAGAAGAATCTAGACCTGCTGCAGGGATTACTTGTCCACCTTGCCTGGTAGGATGTTGGTCCCAGCAGTACCTTCTCTTCTTTGTCGTCCATGAGGGGCATTAACAGGCTGACTCCCGTCAGGTTCCATTTCTCCTTTATCCCAGGAAGCCAGCAAGCATACCAGTACCTGCAAATTGCAATCAGCATGGTCATCGATCTGCGACTCGATCAAGAGACTGCCGACGTGGTTGAGCAACGAAATGAACTCACCGATGTCTATGCTCGGGATGCATGCCGTGCTTATCTGGGCTGCTATTACATGTCTAGCATGTGAGAAGCCATGATCCACCGCGATAGACCTTCATAGGCTTAGGCTTACTTTGGTAGAATAGCAATGTCCTCGGGAAAGCCCAACAATCTCCGATTCCACAAGGACATGCTCCGATGCGCGAAGATGCTGCACCAGGAACCAGAACCGGAATTTGAGACTGACCACTTGATATATCCGATAACACAGGTATTACAGTTTAATGAGGACGTGTGTGAGACTCATCGGTCAGAAGGAATCTATAGCCCCCGCTTGTACATCTATGCTGAACGATTCACAACGCGGCTAGAAGAATGGTGGTCGTCTCTCTCAACGGAAGTTCGCAACAACGGTATGAAGTTCTCAGGATCTTGTGGCTACCAGTTTGGCTGACCTGGGATCTGCAGTGTTGCTGATTGACCGCTATTATGCCGTCAAGATTCGCATTGAAGAGATGGGCTTGGTATATTGCTACGGGCAGAGAAGACCGCCGTCTCGAATGGCACAGAGAGAGTTGACCATCTTGTCTGCACATCCAATGGTCATCAGTCACTTGACTGATTGTGTGAGTTCTGCCAAAGACTATCTCGATATCTTTTGCGCCCTTCCGGCTGCGGCGCAATGTCGCTTGCCATTTTCTACCTGGTATCAGGTTGTTCTGGCGGTCTTTGTGCTCTACAGGCTGTCCGTGGGACTGCCCGAAGTACCACAGTGGAACGTTGACATCGCACGGGAAACGGTGGATCTACAGGAATACACCGATCAACTTCTGTCTCATCTGCAGGGTATCGCGCCTTTGTCGGACCGACAGATACCCACCACGAGTCTCTTTTCGAGGATGCCCGAGATCATGCAAAGTGTAAGAACTTCTTACGCGTTGGCGAAGGAGAATGGCGCACCAGTTCGGGACAGCCGCCATGCGCACCACGACCTCGCGTCTGTGAATCGCACAGCCTCCTCTACTCCAGGGCTGCACCGCTGCCCGGCCGTGCGGTATTCTAGCCGTTCCGTCGCCCCGGAGCTTGATCTACCTACACTGCAGAGCGCGATTGCTACGGAAGTCCGGAGCATCGAAGATGAGAAGCTATGGGGCGATCTATTCCTGATGGGTACACTTTCTAGCATGGCAGGTTCATCCTCGATCGGATTGTGACAGGTGATCCATGCTCCAGACGTCCAGTCTGCACGGCTTCGGTTCAGCATCGCACCACCTCAGACCTCATCGGGGAAGACATGGGTGGAGATCTTGTTTCCAGTCGAGTCGTATCGCTGCGGTAGGACGTTGAAGAGTCCGTCCACATCGCGTGGTTCGAAATCCAGCGACAATGCCGCCTGGGTGAGCAGGTCCAGCCCATAAGTCTCTTTGATCCAGTGGGCGACCATGTCCATTCCCGCCACCGCTCCGCTCCCTGTCCAAATGTTGCCGTCCACAATCCACTTCTTCTCCTTTGTCCACTTGACCTTCGGGTATCGCTTCTTAATCCAGTTGTATTCGAGGTTGTTGACGGTGGCCCTGCGGCCGTCTAGAGCGCCGGTGGCGGCCACCACCGCGGCTCCGGTGCACGTCGTAAACAGTAACTTTCCCGAGGCCGCATGGCGGCGAATGAGGGCCTGTAGTTTGGGCGGAAGCTGCGATTTGGCGGGGATATCCCCCCCGACGATGAGGATATCCAATTCGGGGACCTCGTCCACCGTCACCGTAGGCATGACGGTTATGGCGCTGGTCAGCAGGTGCACCGGCTCCATGGTCGCGCCGATATGGTGGAAGACAAACTCGGGCGCCTTGGCCAGAAGGTCTGGGTCGACCGGGGCGTAGTGATTGATACCGTCCAGAAGCATCTTACTCGCCGAATTGAGCAGATCGCATGGGCCGATGACGTCGATCGTCTGGTAATCGAAGAGTGGGCAGCCGACGTGGATGGGGGCCATTATGGTAGGAGTCCTGTTGATCTAGTGTGGTCTTGAAGGATGAGTATCAAACGAGTACCAAATATATATCAAATAGTATGCAATCAAGCTGTTGCCCTCAAATAACAATAACAATCCCGTGGGCCATGTTTCCCCGTGCTTAAATACTGCCGAAACACTGCCAGATTCCGATGCCGGCATCGCGGAGCGGGCGGTTCCAACCGTTCCGTCCGCCGCGGTCGGCCTTCTTGGCACGGGCAACGGGGGAACTTGACCGACCGTGCCCGCGAGTGACACGAGAAAACGGAGATCATTGTCTGAGGTCAAGAATTAATTTCATGCTATAGCAAATAATGTATTGGTGATAAAAACATGATATGAGGGTGTGTGGGCTGGTGCAGTCCAGCCCTCGTGCATTAGGGCCTCATCCTGTCTGCCCGAGATCCGCAGCCACTGCTGCTTTCAGCAAGAGCTCCAACTGCACCAATTTGGTCTCGGTGTTGAGATATTCCTCCAGAATGATTTGCAAGTCCATCCGTTCGTCACTGCCCCCGATCGCCGGGCGTGGCCGCTTGCTGCCACGCCGAAAGTCGTGGTCCCAGTTGGGAATCTCGCAGTCTACTTCCGAATGCCACCAGGCCACGTGACAGGTAGAATTGAAGTCACTTTCATCAACAAACGTATCCATTCCCTCGTACGTAAAGAGGTCAAGCTTGACCCCCCTCAACTCTCCGGTCGGCTTCAGTTGCCGATACAGCTGGACTTGTCTGGTGTCAGGCCGCAGGATGTATCCGTACAGCTCGTCCAAGTCCGGGCGCCATTTCCGGAGGGTGGTGAAGGCACGTACAAGGGCGCGCTGACACTCGGCCTTCCAGTGATCCTCGGTCACCGAGCGGGGCTCGTCGGAGGTGGTCCGCCATTTCACTTCAGTCATGAATGACCCCCGGGTGAGCGCGCTCACCAGGGTATAACAGTGTGCCTTCCAGGCATCCCCGTCGTCCGACCCCTTTGTTGTCTCAAGGGGCTCGACGCCACTCTCGGTGGCATCGACAGTAATGGGAAGAAGTCGAAATCTGCCCATGATGTTGGTCAAATAACTGTGCCACGTGTAGCTAATGTTGCGGGCTTTGTTTCTGGGACGTATTGTCAGGGGTGTGGTTCATTGGATGGGCTCCAGTCGGGGAACGGTATACATATTTATAGCCCAGCAATCGTGGCGACTTTATTGGTCCACTCACTCGTTCCCGAGTGAATGCGTTCATTATAGCCTACGGCAACCATTGTTCTGGCGGAGAGCAAGTACTGGAGATTTTACTTACGTTGTGTTGTCGTACCCTTGTCATCCGTCGCCGAGGGAAGTTGTTGAAAGAGAATGCTTATCAAATCTCCTCGTGGGGCTATGTTAGTGGATTATGAACAAAGGTCCGAACAAGGACTTTGTGTTTGCCATATCTGCCACGACCTGTTGCCCCTTGAGATCAACCATACATATACCCCAGGTTGTAGCCGGTGAAAGCTAGTAGTAGCATCTCAACACATTGAACTAAACACAACGACTACACGAAAGATGGCAACGAATACTCAAGAAAGCGCACTTCATATCCTGCCAGAAGGATCTGCGCCAAATGCCCTGCCTAGTAGCTATAGTGTGGATCATGATGGCTGGTGCACGATTACGAGCAATGCGGAAGGTAACAAGGCAGGGTTTGGTTTTGATTATCGTGTTGACGGCGATATCTCGAAATGCATGATGGCACTCGATGACGGACCATGTGGCCGGACGTTTTCCTCTCTGGGTGATCTGAACATTCACCAACACGGACATCTGACTGCAATAATGGGCAACCCGAAAGCGGAAGATAAACAGACAAGACCCAATGGGCTTCCTCTGAGCTATCGTTTGGATGATCATGGTTGGAGATGCATGATCGAGGTCCATGGCGGACCATGTGGCCGAGTATATTCAGCCCTGTATCATTTGGAACGCCACCATCGCCGAGAACATGAATATGAATGCTACTTCTGCCCCAACTGCCACAAGATGCTCTCTAGTCGGGACGCGGTCAGACGGCATATGAAAAATGCCTGCCGCTCGACACCGCGTGACTTGATGCATTTGCAGACGCAAAAGACACGCAACGCATGAGATCAGAGGAAACAAGGTTTGTGAATATGGTATCATCTTGCCTAGAAAGCTAATTACACGGCCATGGCTCTCAAGCAGTCGAAAAGTGCTCCCTCAACGCGCTGAGAGAAGGAGTAAAGAAATACTCACCGCCCCTTTGGTCCACCCAGGGGCTAATACCCAGATTTAATTTCACCGTCTTGTCGGGGTTTTCTCCATCATACAGACTGATGTGGCCCTCGGGATGATCCTTGCGAAGCCTCTGGTTGACAAAGGGGTCCATGCCCGGCCCGTCGGGGAAGGTCTTGGTCTTGTACTCGGGGAAGGAGGCGTTGCTCGCCCAGCCTGGCTCGTGTCAGTATTCTGTAGTTCCATCGTAAGCCCTAATGTCAACCAACGTACGAGTCATAAGGAAATTGAATCCATCCCGGATCAGGCTCTGATAGCAGGTAAAGTAAATGCCCCGGTGCTCAATGGTCTTTCGCAGCCGCTTCTCCTCTTCAGTCAGTTCCGGACCAAAGGTAATGCCTCGTCGAAGAATGACGCTGGCATCCTCTTCCTGTCCCTCGGCCTCTTCTTCATCGCTGTCGGGCTCGGGCAGTGCGGTCTCGTCCCCGTCTTCTTCGGTCCCCACGTCGCGTTTCTTATCGGATCGAGGGCGCATCTTGCGGATGTGCGCTGCAAATGGACAGCTCTTGATGCTCTTCTTAGGTCGGAAGTCGAACGTGTTGTTGAAGGCCAACTCTGGCTTATCCTCGTCGTAAGCGTACACCACGGGAGCGCCTATGCTTGATCAGTCTGCATTCGTCAAGAGAATAGGAATCGAAATTCGCCGGGTTCGTACCACTCTTCCAGCGACCCATCAAGTGAGCTCCCAGCTTGGCCGGACCATTCGGCCCTGCGTAGTTGGTGCCCGGGATCTGAGAAGCCTTCTCTTCGAGGAACTTCTCAAACTCGGGGACCTTCTGGTCCAACTGCCGGAAGACCAGAAAACTGCCCTCCTTGGCCCAGGCCGGGCCTCGCTTCTTGTTGGGATCTCCCTCAAACCCGAGGAAGATGTATCCCGGAGGACAGGCATGAGGCTCCCCCGGGGCAGGGGCCGGGTCCAGCCCTCGGATCTTAGGCTGCGAGATGTGGTCTTCGTAGCCAAAGCTGCAAACAGGAGGTACTTTAGTCTCCGATGGTCATGTAATTGAGGTTTCTCCAGAGCACACGTACTGTTCCTTGCCCCGGTTTGCCCCCGGTCGGGTTTGACCATCGCGACGAAAGGCGATCTTCATACTGTTCTCATTTGCATCACCCACGTAGAAGGCATCCTCCACGTCCACGATCTTCCGGCGGAGAGCCTTGGCACTGTGCGCCGCCACAATGAAGACGCCATCGACGCGCCAGTCCCACCGTTGCAGAGGATCTTCCTTGGCCAGATTAGCCTCCGGGGCTCGGAAGTCCGGATGCAACGCGGGGGGGCTATCGGCGCCCTCGTAGACCAGGTCATCGAACATGCCCTTTTCGAAAAGACCCTCATTGATCCGGTCCCGGCAATACTCGTCGGGGTCTTCCTGTTGGACCTTGACAAACTCGACCTCCACCTCGGGCCTTTCGACCTAGAACACGAAAACCGGGCGTTAGAGTCCGGAAGGAAAGAACAGAGAGCGACGGGGGGTGTATAGGCCATCACCAACCTTCAGCAGACCCAGATGGGTGAAGGCCACATTCACCGCGGTGAAGGGCACCCGATAGGGCTCGGGAACATCGCGTCGGGCTTGCGAGGATGCCTCTTCAAACTCTCCCACTCCCCGAAGGTGGTCCGCGCATTGCGTGCCGGTGGTGATTTCATTGTTGTCCAGCAGGGTCCGCAGGTGTTTGCGGAACTTGCCCTTGTCGGTGATTTTGAAAAACAAGTAGGATTCAAAGTGCTTGGGCAGCCGGGGCCAGATGCTCCCCTGGATGTTGTCAGTGTTGACCTTCTCTGGGGCACGCATATTGGTGATGGTCTGTCTCTGAATAGTTGGGACGAGGAGCAGACCCGCCCAGAGGAACCTTTTATGTCTGCCGCTCTAGCTGGCAAGAGACCACAGCCCTGAACTCTTGGTTACGTCGATCGCAGCTGAGCTGATAGTGCACATCCGGTGGCTCTGATGGTGACCTCTCATAACCCCTCCATTGGCAATGCAGTCATCGTCATACCCCTCAGCTGAAAAAAAGATGCGCCATAATCAAGTGAACGATGATTTGTAGATGGCAGAGTATTCTGCAGCCCCGAGCCCCACAGGCAAAACTGATCTATCGAAGTGGTAGATGTCGATCCCTCCACTTTGCTGCGGTGACGAACTGTCGATCGCGTCGCTTGGACGCCGACTGCGTCATTTGTTGAGCGGAGCTGAACTGTGGGGCTGGTTGAGGGTGAGATCGTCTGCTGCTGCATGCGATGATGCTGGTTGACAAATGTGTCAAGTCAATGGACGGTTCTTGCCTTGCCTACTACCCCCAATGCACTACCAACCGGGTACTATACGAAGACTACTAACTTACTGTACGTACACGTCTACATACTCAAGTACATATAGTACATCCTCAACCATGGCCCGGCCTGATGGACCGAACCGCCCGCTCGGGCAGGCTTGGCAAGATCCACTTCCTCAACCAAGGCAGATCCAGGCAGGTTTGCCGAATGCCTGCAGAATGCCTGCAACTACACCTTCCGGGGCATTTCTCAGCACAGCTGGAACACCGTCTCGATCCGGCTATCGACTTGGCGCTCACAACCGGAAATCATCTCCAACCAGCGTCACATCACAGTCGATCTCTGCCTCGACCTGCCTCGACTGCCTCGAAATGGCCTCGGTGGCGAGCTGAACCCCCACTGGCACTGCTGGAACCACTGACAAGAACAGCCACTGACCGCATTCCCGCCATTCTGGCTAAATCTATAAGTGGTTCTCGACCGAGTATATATTTATAACATGGTCTTCTCCTCTACAGTCTCCCCAAGTCCACCACATCACTCATTCCATCTTTTTGAGTCAACATGAAGTTCCGGTTGGCGGCGGGCCTCCTGCTTGGGGCAGTCGCCGTCGATGCCTTCATGCCCCCTGAATATGCCTATGAGTCCTCCCAGGCGGACGAGATTGAAATTGCCAAGCAGTCCACGGGAATTGTCAAGTATCAATCGCCGCCGGCGGACTCATACCTCATCCCCAAGACCAATTCCGATGATGCCTCCCAGAACTGGGAGGTGAAGTGTTCCAGCCAGAACAAGGCCCACAACTGCGAGTATGCCATCGACGACCGCACCGACCGCTACTGGAGCAGCAGTCCCGACGAGCAAGAGCCCTCCTGGATCCGCATTGACCTGCGGAAGGAGCATTATGTCTCGGGCGTGACCATGCTGCCTCGCCTGGAGGCCGAAGAGGGCCAGATTGGCGAGCACCGCATCCTGCTGTCGCCCGATGGAAACAACTGGACCGAGGTCGCCTACGGCACCTGGGGGTCCAACAAGAGCCCCAAGATGTCCGCCTTTATCCCGACCCCCGCTCGCTTTGTCAAACTGGTGGCGGAGACCGAGTCCCACCCCCGCAGTCAGACGAGAAACGGGCAGGTCTCCATCTCCAACATGGCCGTCTACGCCTATATCGAGGGCACGTTCCCCGAGGCCGACCCCAGCACGGGTGGTGTCTGGGGCCCCACGCTGGATCTTCCCATTGTCCCCGTCTCGTCCGCCGTCGAGCAGCATGGGAATATCATCATGTGGTCAGCCTGGGCCGACGATCAGTTCTTCGCCTCCCCCGGGGGCAAGACGCTGACCACCACCATGAACCGCAGCGGCATCATCACGCAGAGTGAAGTCTTCGAGACCAAGCACGATATGTTCTGCCCCGGCACCTCGATGGACCTCGATGGCAACATCGTGGTCAGCGGAGGCGCCGACTCGGGTCGCACCAGCGTGTACAATGGCACCGCCTGGAACAAGGGCCCCGCCATGCAGACCCCCCGTGGCTACCAGTCGTCCACCACCCTGTCCGACGGTCGCATCTTCGTGATCGGAGGGTCCTGGAGTGGCGGCGACAAGGTCGAGAAGAACGGCGAGGTCTACTACCCCGGACCCAACGCGCACTGGGAGACGCGCAGCAACGCCAAGGTCGAGCCCATGATGACCGATGATCGTCTGGGAGCCTGGCGTGCCGACAACCACGGCTGGCTGTTTGGCTGGAAGAAGGCCAGCGTTTTCCAAGCGGGACCCAGCAAGATGATGCACTGGTACAACGTGGACGACACGGATCGCAAGGGCCGCGTCCGGGGCTCGTGGGAAGAGGCCGGGGAGCGTGGCCAGGACCACGACTCCATGTCGGGCAGCGCCGTCATGTACGATGCGACGCGAGGAAAGATCCTGACCTTCGGCGGTCAACGTCACTATGACGGCTCCAACGGCTCCAAGAACGCCCACCTCATCACCCTAGGCGATGCTTACAAGGACCCGGAGGTGGTGGTCGCGGGCAAGGGTCCCAAGGGAGACGGCGAAGGGGGCATGCACTACAAACGTGTCTTCCACACCTCGGTGGTCTTGCCCGATGGCACCGTCTTCATTGCCGGAGGGCAGAGCTGGGGCAAGCCCTTCCACGAGGGCGACATCAACTTCACCCCGGAGCTCTACGACCCTGCCACCGACACCTTCCACGAGTTGACCCGCAACAACATCAAGCGCGTCTATCACAGTATCTCCATGCTGCTGCCCGATGCGACGGTTCTGAACGGCGGCGGTGGGCTGTGTGGTAACTGCACGGCCAACCACTACGACGCCGAGATCTACTCACCTCCCTACCTGTTCGACGAGAACGGCAACCCAGCTCGTCGGCCGCAGATTACCAGCATCTCCGACGGACACCGCGTCACCGTCGGCGATCAGATCCGATTCAAGACCGACGACTTCATTGAGACGGCCTCCCTGGTTCGTGTCGGAACCACCACCCACACGGTCAACACCGACCAACGTCGCATTCCTCTCGACACCCTCAAGCGTGTGGGTCATCTGCAATACAGCGCTCGTCTTCCCGCGGATCCTGGTGTCATCCTGCCGGGATGGTACATGCTGTTTGCCATGGATGCCAAGGGCACTCCCAGCGTGGCCAAGATGGTCAAGGTTGAGCTGCCCTCGCCTCCCGAGTACGTGTCCAACTTGGAGGATTCGGAGGCGGAGGAACAGCACGTCAGCCACGGTCATGTCGGAGTAACGGCGGACTGCGACGAGGATAACGAGGTGATGGGCGTCATTGCCATCATGTTCGCTTCGGCCAGCAAATTCTGGAAGAACTGGAAGGGTGCGCTCGTCTCGCAGGCTTAGCTAGTAAATTTTCACGGTTTCTTCAGTTAGTAAGGTTGTGTTGTACAATGAAAGCTTCATTTTGTTCTATATTAGCCTTTGATGTAGATTCTCATGCGGGTATCTCTAACGGGCCACCGTGAGAACGACGGAAGTGCGGGTCACCTGGACGCCATCCACAGGCATCAGTGATTGACTCGAGATAGCAGCATATGCTCCAGCCGATGGTGCATTCGGAGGGTGCGCTCACTGAAGAACCGCCGCCTACAAACGACTCCCCCAGTTTCATACATGCAAATCCACACGCCAGTAGTCTCCTGATGATAGCAATAGTCGTGACGATGCGCCGGACCGTGGTGGACGGCTTCGAGGGGATCACTGGGATGACTGCCGATTTTCCACCCCGAGCCACAAGCCGGACATCCGAAGGCGAGGGCCTGCTCTGCCATCAACCGACCAATGCACTGGGTGTGCCAGGTGCGTTGGCAGCTCCGTCGCCAGCACTGCCAGAATCGCGCCCGCGAATTTGCGTGGTGGTGAGCCCGACATAGTCCGCAGGTGACCAAGGGGTAAGCTTCATCCTCTAGCGACACCATCACCACCGGCTTCTCCCGCTCTCTGCGTTGTTCAGGAGAAAGAGAAGTCAGATGGAGAAGCCTAGGATGAACAGTGAAAGACATCTTTGTGGATGTGAGGGAGATGGGAGAACAATGCCATGTTTGTCTTGGAACAAAGCAGTGGATTTATATCTTTCACGCGGCCGGGGATTCGCGGGCTACAAACAAAGAGGGAGGCCATTGTTCGACCACACCACGTCTGGCAGGGTCCTGACATAGACTGGAGGGATCCCTTGTCTTTCTGTCAGGGAAGCAGGTCGTGTGCCTGATCGATCAACGCATGATTCTTAGTCCATCCTGGTTCTTTGACGGTCCTTTCAGGACGTTTCTTTAAGACCCTGTTTGTAAAAGCTTTCAACGGATCAAACACAAGGCAATACTTAAAGCTTTGTATAGTCAATAACAGGTGTCCCAGGGGTCCCATGGATGGGTATAAAATCCTGGCGAATATCCCATTTGAATCAACTGTCTTCACACTCTCAGCTCTCAATTCACCTTCAAAACAGCGCCCTCAAACACAGAACCAACACGTTCAACGACACAACCACCATCATGTCTTCTCAACCTGGCTTCCATATCAACCGGCTTCATCGCTCCAGGGATTCAAAATCTGATTTTGATCAGACAGAATGGCTGACTGTCGTGGCGGCCGGTATCACGCAGATGCTCGAATCATTCTGCTCATTCTCAACCTTCGGACAGTTGGCGACAACTGGAAGCTCATCGGCGAGCGTTTCGCCAGGCTTGCGATTAAGAGGAAGCGCCAGAAATGCAGTGCCGACAAGTGCTATACTGGACCATATGGGGTGGTTGGCTAGTGTGAAGACCAAGACTCCCAGTTCTACATCGAGACCTCGGACTCAGCCGAGGCCGATGCGCCTACCTTGACTCGGTGGATCTGGGACGATCCTCCTACGCAACCTAGCCCTTTGCCAGGGTGCTACTACCCTTTCATTCGCAGGATGTACTCGGATAACCAGGGTAATTCTCCAGAGCATGAGTTGGTGAGACGGACCGGGATGCAGATCTTCGATATTTACTGCTTCGAGCTTACCCACAAGCCCTTCTTAGATTCGAGGTCTTCTACAAGGATCACTGTGGAGTCGAGAGCCTTGTAGGAGAATCTGGTACCCCTTAGAATATCCACTACCTTTTTTCAATGATACTGAACCTCTGATGCATGTTCTTATCTTTGCAAACAGCTTTGCTTTGTAATCTTTGATATCCATTTGTCCAGATCACATTTAGTACACTCTGGACTCTGCTGCTTTGTGTGTGCAGTTCAACCCTGCTGTCCAGTGTTTACCTACCCTACCTACTTGCCACCTTCATATCCATTTCCATCCTCGATAGAACCCCCTCTTGAGACTTGATATTCTTCCTCTTCCCATTTGGATTTGAGCTCTGAGGCTCTTGTAAGACGAAGCATATCACCCCTGCAAATCTTCGTAGGACGTATGATGTTGCCGTGGGTCTGTACACCCAATCCTCGCCAAACTTCTCAAGAACCTGCCCCAAGCTCGAGACACATTGACTCGGTCCAGGATTTGTATCCGGTACACTGACTAGATCAAACTACCTCCAGCCCATGCCAAACCACAAACCCCGTCGAGGAGCTTTATCTTCGAGTCACACGTCTTGTTTGACCCGCGGGAAAGCATTCTTTGTGCACGTACATTCTTGTCAGTACTATCGAAAGTAGGTATGGCAAAAAGAGATAAGCTGATGAGCTTCTTTGTACAAGCTCATTGTTGGGAGGACCTTTCAAACCGAAGCTCGGCTCTATTGTTCAGTGTCATTGTGCCTGCACCTTTCATTCATCCAATCATTGTCATCTTTGGTTGTCTTGCTCCTTTATATCACCTTTTGTTACATGGTCAATGAATGATGTTGGCTGGAATCCGAGACTAACTTTGTGAATGACCATTTTCTTTAAGTATCTCATGTACCTCCCTTTATAAGATGGCCTGAGAGGCGATCTACCACAAAGTAAATATAATTGCATCACAGACCATCTACGTGCATTCTACATATGTTCTAATCTTTCAAGTCCACCATCATAAGCCTCGACTGCTGGGTATGAGTACTACAACCATCCTCGTGCTGGACACAATTAGCTTCAGGCCATCAAGCCATTAAGCCATCAAGCCATCTCTACAACATCACCCTCGAGTACAGTCTAGAATCAACCCTCATCAAAACACCACAGCCATAATGGGTAAACTCAAAAACCAGGCCTTGACCCAATCTAAAGGTATACCATACGGGGGGGCCCAATTTCGATCCAACGCAATGCGGGTTGGTCCAATACACCTTCGGTCGGATTATCGTCATCCGCCTAAACCCCAAGCGTGTGGGCAAGACTGGGAGATGATCGGCCAGAAGATCACCTCTGCTGCTTGGCAAAAGAAGCGTGAACGAGCCACCATCGACGCGAATCGGACTGGCCGGCTGAGGTCATCTGCGGAGGCTACTTATCTGGGGCCTTATGGAGCGATGGTCCGGTGTGATAACCAGCTCGGCTTCTATTTCGGGGCCCAGGCGACTTGGCCCTGACTCCTTTCCCCTTGAAAGGCACTGGTGGCTCGGTCTTTCACCAGTTCCCCGATTGTGGCCCTTACGAGCATAAACCGCCTTTCTCCGGAAGATGTATGCCACCGATGCCGCCGATAATTGTGCGCAATGTGCGCCCGTGTCAGACTTGGACCTTGAATCACGGTTTATGATGCAAATCGTCGCATCTGACGACCTGGTAGGGTGCAAGCCCTTTGATAGTGACTGGCTGGTGGCCTACAAGAGACAGGATGGAACAATCCGCCTGACCTCAAAAAACCATCCTTGAAAACCTAGTAGCACTGACTTGCAGTTGATTAGTCCTTTGATCTATTATCATTCAATCTTCTGATCTTTGTTCCACGCCGTTATTCTCCGAAGATGACCGTAGCTGGCCTTCCTCTTTCTGGTGTTTTCTTCTAATATATTGTTCAATTCGGGTATTTTCAATTCGTTCCTGGGGAGAACGAGGACGCGCTCCAAGATTCCATTCTCCTCTAATGGGACTTAAAACAATTCTCTCACTTGCCTCCCGAGCTGACCCATAACAAAGAACAAGAGCTTCAAGGTCTCTTATCTCTCTGATCTCGAACTGGTGCACCCTGGCGCTTGGCTATAAATACTAACCCTACCCCTCGGTTAGGCCATCATCTACTCCAGAGGAACAAGCCCTTCCCTTCATAGAACTTTAAGAGCTAGACTTTGATCCCAGATCTACGAAAAAGGATTTGATACATCCAGACACACGTGGAAATGCCTCAACTAAGTGATACACAACTTGGGGTAGCCAGCGTAGGGCTGGCGACGGATCGCATGGTACTCATCTTTCTCAAACCTGAGACTTGTGGCGAGGATTGGGAGGCAGTCGCCCAGGAACTGACCCGTGCAGCGTGGGAAAAGAAGCGTGAGGAGCCATTGGCGCCCTCTGAGCCGTGCGGTGCGAAGGTTTTCTGGGGAAATCATAAAGTCGGGTTCTACTACGAAACCCCGCTGGATCATCATCCCGAAGAAGATGTCCCCAGCGGCTCCGGCCCTTTTGCTCTAGCCTCCTTCGTCCTCCCTAATAGTCATGTCTACTATGACCAGAGCGACCCTGATGACTTGTTTCATGAGAAGCTGTTTCTCGGCAGATTGATGGTGGGCCAGGCTGACAATCAAATCGTGGATGCGCAGCAGAGCTTGTGGTCCCAATTGCTAATGCTCGAGGAGTGGCTCCAAGAAGACTGCGAGAGCTCTCCCAACTCTATCCTGGTGTTCGAAGCTTAGCTAGACTCAGGACGGACTTACTTGGGCCGGTTCAGCAATGAACATCGCGATTTTTTAAACAATTCACTTATCTTTCCAATTGTCGATCCGATCCCAGACATTCCAACTTCTCTTGTCTTCTCTTTCCTTCAGCGACATACTCCAGAATCTCTTCCGCCTCCGGGGACGGAGCTCCTCTCCAATTCTGTCCCGGTTGCTCCGTCGGTCCTCCGCCTCTTTATTCTACTTATACTGTCCCTCACATCCTTGGTGACGATTAAGACTTGTTTTCTGGACACCCTGCCTCTCAGAGACCCGCTGAAGAACCCTGTCAGACTTTGCTTGGATGCCCCACGGGATAAGCACTAGAAGGTCCGCTTTGAGAAGGGATCATCGAGTTCAATTCAGTTAAAACTAAAGACTAGTATGAAAAGGTTGAACCGACTATTTCCTAATCAGGACTGCTTGTATTCTTCAAAGCGAATGACAGCCCTCTTCAATCTTCGGTTGGAACAATCACACCCCCACTTCTGCCTCGTCACTGCCATTCAGCTAAGCGACTCGCCTTCAATCATGACTAGGGCAGGAACAGCAATGGGATAGGTCCTGGTTCAAGCAATGTTGCAGGATGTTTGGAGCCAGGATACAGAGACTTTAGGCTGTGAACCACTGTCAACATGCGAGTTTTCGAAAGAAGATGGCCCAAGCGGAACGGCTTCCAGTATTGTCCCAACATGCGTCTGAAGATACCCATGCCCCTTGCTTCGAATATTCAGCACGGCGCCCAAGAAAGGCAAAGGCGTGGACGTAAACGGCGATCCAACCGGCCATTCCGTTCTTGCTTGCGGGGTGACAAAGCCCTCAACACTCACTTCCTTAGCTGGCACATTCCGAGACCGTTCGGTCACTAGCCCCAAGAAAGGATGGAAGGACTTTTAGGACTCGCTAAATTGGCTCGTTAGTTCACTGTCGTTTCAAGAAGCAACGAGTCAAGTTTTATTCCTGGTACTCATCGATCCGAAGATCTGTCTATATAACGAGGTGTTACTGTACCACTGGCACTCCAGGTGCCCAGCTCCCACGCTGCCTGACGAAATAGAAGCCCTACCGACGGACTATCCATGGAGAGATTACACGATGCAAGCTCACGTACTATACTGTACCATTTCACACGCTCGCCTGCGCGGAGACGACCAAAGGCAACAAATTCATGCAGACTCAGGGCGCTGTGACATATCTGTTGGTCGGCCAAGACCTTGTTCTCGGAATGATTGGACGATTTCAATGCATATTGAAGATTGCAATAGACGTCTTCCCTCAAGCGCAAAGTGCATAGATGCTTCACAGCAGACGCCTCTGTTTAGTCGGTGATCCAGATACGCGAATCTTTGTCTAACAGCTTGAACCGAAGCCCGTTTGGCAGTGCTACTTCGTCAAATCTCACGGAAAAGCTTCTCCCGTTGTAGTGTGTGCGTAGAAATGACTTTGCAGTAGAGCCTATGGTCAGGCGTTGACCCAAGTCTGTGACAAAGGGTCGTGTTTCGCTGTATCGGAGAATATCTTCCTCCACAGCTACCCCTGCGCTGAACCCGGATCTACCAAGATCTTGTGTCATTTTCCACGTTATGTCACGCCATGCGGCGAGCCAGCGAGGGCAGTCTATCTCGAAGACCACAGCTTTCATAGTGGTTTCATTCTCGGGGAGCGGCCTTTCATGGATGTTGATAGTTATACCAGCGGCTTGCCTTTCCAGTGAACATTTTTTGCAACTGATACTGTGTCTTCGATAACCATCGTAGGACCAATAGAATTCGCACCCGAGTCTCCCGGCTTCTCTAAGCAGATTGCTGTGTTTCACCGACTTTTCCGACCATTCGTCCCTTTTTTTCTCGACCTGACGTCGAGCGTGCTCTTCGATCCGTAACCGCAGCTGCTGGTGCTTTTGAGAAGCATCAGAGTAGCGCGCCCCAAAGCATTGAGGCATCAGATCCTGGAGAATACTAGGGTATCGACCTGCATCTCTGTGTCTTTTTTGAATGTAGTCCTCGACTTTGTATGCCCTCTCCATTTGCGAACGTTGTGATAAGAGCAGTGGCTCGAGGAAATTCGTCGGTATCTCTGGAGAGTAGTCTGCCAGAAGCGGGCAAAGTCTGACGCACATTTGATCGAGCGCCATCCACAGTTCCAGCACGGTCAGTACCATTATTGACACGGCTTCCGGATTGTCAGCGTAGATCGCACGCGCACGCCCATAATAGTCTCCGAACAGCGAGGCTAGGGCGGAGCTGAGACTCTCTGATGGTGTCAAGATATTCGTCCAGCCACCGAGCTCATTTTCTACCCAGCGTTCGCAATCGAATATGGTGAGCAGATTGTCCTCCTGAACTGTAGGAAGTCCATGTGCGTTACGCGGTTCTCGAGCGGGATAGGTGCGACTGAACTGGGATGTTTGTACTTGGCTGGGCGCTCGTGTCATCGCATTTCGGAGATACTCCGAACAGTTTTTGAGAGACATTTGAAGGTCTTTTGAGGTGTGTTGAAATGCTTGTGGTACAACGACTCGATCGGACTTGCGGATAGTGGCCTGTATATCTTGCAGAGCTTTCAGGATTACCCTCACAGTGGAGTGAGCCTGCTTCGCAACGAACTCGTAGGCGGCACTCTGCAACTTACAGGTCCGACGAGCGATCTTCATGCGAATTATCTCCAGTTGGTCGGCAGAGACGGTTGGACGCATGTTTGTGGCCTGGAGTCCGAGCCTTGCAACGAGGTAGAGCATCAAATTTTTGAACTGCAATTGCCCCTCGTCCTCGGGGAAGGCGCGACGAAGAATCGTCTGCAGGGCAACGCGCATGACAACCAATAAGGCGATCGTCGCCAGGGGAGCTTGCTACTCTTCCAGTTGACCTCATCATGCATATGCTTCTCGAATGACGGCCACTTGTTTCGTTTGCCGAAAGCTAGAAGTTGGGTCATCAGACACTCAGTAACCAGACCAGGATGTGCAGTATCTCTCTCCTCTGGCAGCGTTCTACCGGCCTTCGTAGAAGTTGGACTCATCTCGTCCACAACCTCAGTGGAAAGCCTTGTCAGGTCCCTTGCCAGCCAGGAACAGAACGTCGCCTCGCTCAGCCTGTCGCTGGGTATAGCCACACTCTGTCCGGGGAAACGGCGAAGTAGGCTCCCTTGGGCAGACAGCACATCCTTCGCAAGCGGTGATGCCTCAAAAGCATCGAAGATGACTTTTTTCTGCGTTGTATCATGGAATCCTATCCAACCGCAATTTTGGGCGCGAATATAGAGAGCGATGGCGCCTAGTTCTCACATTAGCCAACCTCCGGCAAGCTTAACCTGTCACTGTACCATCGAGTCGAAGGTCGGATAGCTTCTGCGCTAGAGCTTGTTCGCAGGGCCCAGCTGGTTTCTGGATCTCCAGCCAGTTCTGCAGCATCCCATGAGTGAGATTCAACCCCGCTCTGGATTCCGACGGGCTCTTGCTGAGGTAGTCCTGGAGAACTGCCAGAACATACTCGTGCAGTTCCCTCTCTTGAGGCACTCCATGCTCCTGTGGTAGCTTTGGGGGTAGAACGACATGGTGAAAGAGAAAGTCGAATGTTCCTTGCGTGAGAGGCATCGTGAGTCACTGATAACACTGTCTGACTGTACGTTGATGGTTCTCGATGGCATGAGCGGAGCCATCGAGTTCTTATATGCCTGCCCTTGACGTAGATGTGATGAAGGAAGGCGGTTGACGACAGAGTTTTCGGGGATGTGAAGCTCGCTTTCGTGTCACGAGGATTGAAGCAGCGAAAGCGAACTCATGACCAGCAGATTTGGGGATGGTGCCATAAATTTCTAGCTTGGTTCCAGTGAATGTGGACAGCACCTGACCCACAGACCATTTTTACACTTTGTATGGGACATGTTCAGCCCTGCGAGCCATATTTAGTCTCAGGTTCTGAACCCTCTTGGATCCAAATGACCACCAAGCTAGGGGTGCAGAAGAGGCCCCGCCTCCGGAGGGTGTCAGGACAGATGTCAATCGTGATGCTATTATGACGGAACGAAGTATACGTGATGAGGAATGACGGGTTCGGTGGGGAGTCGAAGCATAACTCCAAAGTGGCTATTCCAGGCTGATGCAATATCGGGGAAGTGAACGAATACTGCCACCCGTCTCCGCCCCCGACACCTGCCCCGTGTCGGCCTCAGGCATCTGTTTTCCTTTCGCCTCAGGCTTCAGCCCAGTAGATGCCTGAGGGATCTCCTCCTCCTGCCTCAGGCATCACTACCTTTCTTCACCCTCGCAAACCACACCAAATCCTCCATCTCTTCTTCCAGCCCCAACCCAAGCTTGACAGCTTTACCGTTTTCCAAAACAAATTCAGCAGGAACCAAAACCTCATATCCGTCGAGATAATCTTCTAGGCGCGCGATGTACTTCGACTGTCCCCCGACATGGTCGAAGGTCAGTACAAACCCAAAGGAACGATCGGTCGCATCGACAAACAGCTGGTCATTCTTGGCCTTGACCGTCAGTTCATAATACCCCAAATTCCTATACCGGCCCACGTAGGCGCTCAGGGGTAACTGCTGAGGCTGAGGCTCGCGCACATCCGGGCACAGCTTTTGGCGCAGCTCCGTCTCGCTCGGGTTATCATCTTTTTCCCAGCTGGTCCACTCAATGCTATTCCAATCAGGGCGCTCGGTATGAGGCACTTGGAGAACCAGGTCAATCAACTCTCTTGCCATAATGGTGACCACCGGGACTGCCGTGTCTGAGTTTCCCGAGATCACGGCTCCGAATTGGAACTCAGGCAGGAAAAAGTGAGTGCTGCCAAAGCCGGCGACTGCGCCGTCATGACAGACCACCGCGTGTCCCCGGTTATGGTAGATCTCCCACCCCGCCGCGTAGAGGGTGAAGGACGTCTGTGGCGCGAGTTCCTCCTCCCCCGGGTCCTCAATGGAGCGTGGCTTGAGAAGTCCCTTGTAGAGGCTCTCCGTCACCGGGCCTTCGCGATGCATCATGGCTTTAACCCAGCGGATGTAGTCGTTCACGCTGGTGATGATGGAGCCTGCTCCTTGAGCTTCGGGGCAATCTGGCGTCTGAAACCGACGGTAGTCGCGCTGCTCTTTCTTCCAGCTGTAGCCCGTGGCGATACGGTCGCCCAGTCCTCGATTGCGCGCTCGTTGCGGCTGGAGATTGGTGGAAGCCATGCCCAGCGGGCGGAAGAAGCGGTCCTCCAGGAAATCGGCGAAGGATAATCCGGTCCTCTCTTCGACCAAATGCGTCGTCACGGTATACATCATGTTGCAATACATGTACTTGGATCGGATGGGGGCAGCGAGAGGCAGATGTCGGAGATTCCGGGTGACAGATCGCGCCGTATCCGGAGCACTCGCCCGCGGACTGAGGTAGGAGAAATCGTGCCTATCGGTGTCAGTCTACTATCGGGTGTGCGTCAGTATCGAGTGAGTCAGTCTCACGGAGCCATGCCTGTCCGATGACTCAAGATATCATCTACAGTGACCCCTGCGGTTGATTCTGGATCTTGTAGGACAAAGTCATCGGGCAACAATGCCGACATGGGAGCGTCGTATTGCACCTCCGGGTATTGCTCATCATCCTCGACCAACAAGGCCACGGAGGCCGCGGTCAGGGATTTGGAAGCAGAGGCAATATCGAACAGGGTGTCTGGTGTGCAAGGCTGTGGGGGATTGAAGGACGCACTCCCGTATCCTGCTGAAGCGATGCGGCCGTGGTGAACAATAGCCAGGGCAAGGCCTGGCACATGACGTTCGTCCAGGAGTCTCTTCACACGGTCGCTGAACTCGTTGGACTGAAAAAGATCAATGATCTCCATTGAAACGGTTTTAACAGGTACTCTGGCAATGCCTAGGCACGTGGCTTCGATTTATACTCCCAGATTCAATGGGTCGTGTGGTAGTATACGAAGGTTGCTTTGGAAAGGAGGGGTAAACTGCCCGCCTTGCAGGTGCTTGTGCCACGCTGCATCAGCCACAGTAAGCCTCGATTCCACCCAAGCGCCTCCGGATGCTTTGCCACTGCACTTTCTGTAAGTTAAGTAACTCATGCTCGGGAATTGGCCGTGTGTTGGAAACAACTGAGAGCTTCAATACGTGGCAAAAGCTTGATATTTGTAGATGGGAGGGAGTACTGCGGCGTGCTAGTTTCCAAGTCTCACACATCGTCCAACACATTGCACCATCAACAAAGAAGTAACACAGAGGTATCATCAAAAACAGACACGCTTGACATATGATCATAAACAAAGGATGCTCCCGAGAGAAATAGGCGGTCTGAGATGAGAAGAGATGAGAAGCGAGAAAGCGCCGTCCTGGTGCATGGATGGTATGGTTGCAACCCGCTGCAGCCTACGACCCTCTAGCAGCAATGGTCTGGACGATGATATAGTAGGCCAGCGCCAGGCCGGTGACCACAACTTCATCGGTGACCGGACCGCTCGGTAACTGTGGGTCGAGCTCGAGGCGACCCGCCTTGGTCATTGTCCAGCCCCGATTGGGGATGAAGGTGGCGACCACGGTGTCGTGCTCATCGCGGCACTCCAAATACGCCGGGTTCATGTATTTAGGGTTCTTCCAGGTGAGGACTCGGCCGTTGAGAGCCGGTGACTGGAAGGAAGCTTCGTACTTGAACACCCCGCGCGGCTTGAAGGCGATCTGATGGCCGTTGACGCTGACATCGATGGAGCGGGAGAAGGAGTGGAAGTTCACCGTGGCTGGCAGTCTGGCGCTCCCGGTGGCCTGGAAGATCATATGCGGTTTGCGGAAGTTGAGGTCGGCGGCGTAGACGAGAGTGCTCTGGTTGGGAAGCCCTTCGGTGACTTCCAGGTGCTTGCCGGTCCAGCTGGTAAAGTCGACATTGAGGGATCGCGGTTGAGACATGATGAGAGAGATATGGGATACATTTGCTGTCGCAGAAGTGACCGTACATCTCAAGACATTTATAGACCTATACCTCTGCTGGAGTGCATTCAGCCTTGCCCAGCAGTGCCCAGTGGCCAGTCTCCGATGCCGCAGTGGGGGCGGTGTCCGTCCGTGCCTGAGGCTGTGTCGCCAGCCTCGCTGATCATTGGCTGCTCCGTCAATTCCTGTTTGGGAATACGAGCGGCTGGGCCCGTGCGGCTGCGTGCCTGAAGACACCTCAGGACCCTGTCCACGGGCGCAAAATCAGGATCAGGATCAGCCCTGTAGGCTAACATTGTACTGTGAAAAATGTTATGGTCCAAGTCTCTTTCTTCTAGCTGGGCGATGCAGTCTACATTCACAAACAACTTCCAATTTGCAGTTCCTGATGGCTGTAAGCACTGTGGCAGCCCATGTTCAGCCTACCTACCACCACGCCGGGATATATACCAGAATAATGCTTTTCCGCACGCAACACCCCTGACAGTTGACCAAAAAGTATGCCGATCTTGGCTCTTGTCTACTCCAAATACTGAATCTCATCCATCTAGATTCATACTTGGTCTAAGAAATGGCTCTGCATAAATATCATTGACTGTCTAACCAACTGCCCGAGCATCTCCACACTCGCATAATGTGCGTCTATGAGCACCCACTCCACCTCTTGCCAGTTCCACCTTACCATGGGCCGCTGCCACTAGAGTAAAAGCCCCCTCGAGGTTTGTTGCAGCATTTGAAAATCGCGAAGATGCATTTCTGGCGTATCGAGACAAAGAGCTAGTGGTCTGGTCTGCAGCCAAGCAATGTACCGCAACCCTTTAGGAAAAGCTACCCCTGCAATCCCTGGGCATGACAAACAAGACGAGACACCATTGGGTGTGAGGCTTCAAATTGCTGGGCGCATCTCTCGTATCTAGGCTACTTCGTCTGGTTCATGCGCCCTGGTCGCAGGGACTACATTCTTCAGCTCCACGCTCGAATTCCTGTCACGGGCAACCACATACCGCATGGCTCTAGCTGTGGAGATGCTCCTGACAGACCCCGGTCTTCAACCATCTGCAGACCTCTATAAAATATCTTTGTAGTCGCCTGCTCGTTTCTCTTCCCCAGTCAGACCCGCTTGGCCGCTCCCCTACCTTCCATTAGCCCTAGTGAAGCCACCCGACAGAACACCAGAAAATGGCATCCCAGCCCACCAGCCTTCCCCAGCTGCTCTGCTTAGCACTGCCTCTATTTGGCCTGCTCACCCAGGCAGCCCCTAACAAACTGACCTCTTCTCCCAACATCCAGCTGGAAGCCCGCGGGGGCTCGCCCGACAAAGACGGGATCCAAAACTACCCGCCCAGCTGCCAAAACCCCTGCGACGGGGTGACCCCCAACGCGACGGACCCCGTCTCTGGATCCTACTACTGCTCGTACTGCATCTGCAACAACCGCCTGTTGGGCCCCGCCAATTTCGAGCCCGCCAGCAACTTCACCGACTTCTTCATCGACTGGAAACCTCTGGACAGTCAATGCCCGCGGGACTGGCTCTGCACCTGGTCCAACTTCACCGCGGGGCCGTACCTCAACACGCAGTATTACTACCCCCAGAACGATGGGTTCAAAGGGTGCCCCGAGAATGTCACGCTGGAGGTGGGCACGCGAGTCGATCGTTTCGGGTCCCCACGCGGCGGGTACCTGGCCACGCCCGAGACCTCCTTCGCGCAACGCTCGATCCCGCCTAGCAATTTGAACATCTTCAACGATAGTACGCTGTACAACTACTGGCAGTATGAGGTGCGGCGACCCTTCTGGGCCTTTTATGGCGAGGTGCTGCCGTGGTTTGGTCAGCCCGGTGGTGGGGAGCAGTGGTATGTTCCCGCGGGATTGGGACCGCTGATCGACAATGGAACCCTGGTGCTGGTGGCGGCCAAGACTTATGAGGACGATGGGTCGGATGAGGAGTACAGGGCGGCCGCATGGATGCAGGCTGAGGACGCGGTTATGATGGGCGAGAACGAGATGTACCATTAGACTGAGGTGATTGGGCGCTTCGTCTAGGAGATTGAATGTGACTGATTGGGATCTGCGGGGACTGGGACTGGTCTTCGAGGGGGGTGTTTGGACAAGAGGTCTGGCAGGCTAGCGAAAGCGCAAGGAGTAATTGAAGACTCTACTCTTACCATTCTAAATCCAATTCCCGTCCACACCGACCAGAGACGCCCGAATGCTGACGGACGGCTGCTGCGAGGCATTCGTAGGCCGCCGAGCTCGTACCTTCGTGATTGAAAAACTCCTCCCCAGCCCAGGGAGGATCTTCGTCTCTTCTGAGGGCAGACTAGTTGTCTCTTCCAGACGAAGGACCACCTCCACCGCCTTGTCATCCTCGATCACCTTGGGATGACGATTGGCAAAGTAGCGGGCATACTTGAACAGCGACCAGTAGCAACTGGCCACATTGATCAGAAACAAGACAATCTTGTAGGGCATGTAGTAGACAAGTAAGCAAGTCCAGCTGACAGACTCCTTCTTCTTGCGCAGGTGAATGAGGTTGAAGAGGACAACATTGAGGAAGTATAAGCCGTTGGTGGCGCCCAGCATGATCCCGCAGAAGGCCGGCCGCACCGCGAAGGAGATGGGGAGCATAAAGGGCGCCACAAGATAGAGGAGCGTTTCGTACACCTTTTTGATCGCCATTAGCTGACAGTCTTGCGTGGCTCGGGCAAGGCAAAATCGCGGCTTACCTCCTGAAAGACGAACACTTTGGCTCCCAGCTCCCACCAGCCTAGGTTCCAATTACACAGAATATACTTCATGTTGAAGTACATCCCGTTGACGAAGAAGAAGTTCCAACGCATGAAGCGTTGTTTGAAAATGGTCATCTCGCCAAACCCTCCGCGAGAGCCACCACTGCTGAAGAACACCGCCGATGGAGTTTCGGTCTCGACAAACACCGCCGAGCACATGGTGATGCGCCCGCCCAGCCGGCGACAGCTATCTCCAAAGAACCAGTCCTCCGACACTGAGAAGCCGGGATGATCATGGAATGTCTGTTTGAGAAAGTCCGTGCGCCACAAGGAGATGGCGCCGTGTGGGAATGTAGCACTGCCCAGAACACCCGCGAAGGCGCGCTGCAGACCCGAGATCTTGTACTCCAAGTCCTGTGCCTGCTGGCAAAACGCCCCTCGCGATGATCCAGGCCCGACGCTCTTGATAGTATACCCGATGCACTGTACGCGTCCTTTCAACCGGTCACTCACGACCGGGAAATTGGCCGGCAGAGCGCAATCGTCGTCGATCAGCAACACGTTGGGAAAGTGCTTGGCCGCATAGCAGCCTACAAACTGGGCGATGATCTTGCTTCCGACCGGACACCACAGATGATTCACTCCGTACGGACGACAAACTTCCTCAGTGTTGTCTAGTGGCTCCGGAGCGTTTCCGTTGGCAATCACGAAAATGTTCTGGGGTGGGAAGATGCGCAGGGCTGCTTCCAAGGTAGGTCCAATGATGTTTGCCGACTTGTAACAGGGAACAAGTAGGGCTGTGGCCTGGGCTGTCTTCCGGTTGTGTTCTAGATTGGGGCCTTCTAGCTTCTCTGGTGCTGCAGGAGGATCCTTTTCGAAAGAGACGAGCAAGGGTCCGAAGGCATAGCTAGCCAGAAAGAGAGAGCGTTAGTGATTTTCCACAATTCCAACACAGACTCAACCAGGATACGTACAAAAACGCAACTCCTATCGTAATCGCCCAACCGCCCTGAATCACAAATTCGAAGCGCACCACATAATAAAGCCACCAGACTGCACCCTTCCAGAGTGGAATACCAACGAGGACAAGGTAGATGAATGCTATCAGGAGAAAGTAGACAGCATATTCGAACAACACCTGAGCCCAGTATTTCCGTTGTAATGCGGCCCGCCGCTCTTTGGCTTTCTGGTAGATATCATAGATGCTATGTCGTGCTGCCTGTCGCGCTGTACGGGGCCGAGTTCCGGTTTCGATGCGAGAAATTCGGTAGCTTTGTGGACGTGGTGGAAGAGGCCATGCGCCATCCCGGGTTCCGGGAACCGAATTGGAAGCTCCCAAACCGTCCCTTGGTTGGATATCATGTGGGAATTGAACACCTTCATCGGCAATCTGCTCATTGACCTGAACTGGGTGTGCTGGTGAACGTGCCCCTTCAGCACGGGCATCAAAGTCCGGACGCGGGGAGAAGCATGGTGATTGGATTTCAGTGATGCTGCTCAGCTCGGATATACTCAGCGGTTCGCTCAGACGTCGAGTATTCGCGATTGTTCTGATTTTTGGGGGTTGGTGGCCGCTAATAGTCGCTGAGCGGCGCAGACGTCCGCATTCCCTTTCAAATGCGGCTGTCTGGATTGCCTGCTGAATAGGGCCCTGCTTTGATCGATCACAATGCGAGCTGTTCCACAGATGATTCGATGGTGTTGTTGAAGCCAGTAAATGGGCAGGAATTACCACATCCTCAACCACGGACACGCGAGTACTTGAAGGAGGCATTGATCCAACGTTCCGGAATGACCACTGCGTTCCTGGAGCCGGGGGAGAAGGCTCACCGGGCTGTATAAATTGCACACATCATGAGAAGGCGTGTCTCGCTTTCTACGGCACAGTCCAGACCGTGGAAAAGCAGGGCCCGGTTCCTGAACAAGGCGTCATCATTCTGGGCCTCAGGTCTGTTTGTCGGTGCCGGTAAAGTATTTGGCTCAGCTGATTTGGCATTTGCTCAGGCGCAAAGTGGACGGGGTGCGCAATTCCTGGAGGGCCGGACAGCAGTCGTCATCTCACAACTACAAGATCTGGTAGCGTAGATGAAGAGTGGGAACCAATACAGAAATAGAACTAGTCTAATCTCAGCTCTGAAGCTAGCATGCGAACATGATTGCCTGGGCCCGACTCGCTTGCTATACTTTGTACATGTGGGGTCTTGGTGTGAGGACCATCCATCTCGGCTTCGGGGGGGAGGGGGGGGGGGGGTTGCTTCAGATTGTGTATCATTGGCATGAACCGAGTGATGAACCACATTCGTCCTCGTGGTCTCACGACCGCAATCAACGATAACGGGCTGCGTTTTGTCGCGTATATGCCCGGTCAAAACAGCGTGAAGCGTAGGTTGAGGTAAGAAGTATAAGGGGAGAAGATGAAGGATGGCCCAAAGCGGAAAGAAAAAAATAAGCGCCGCGGCAACCACGGATGGCATTACGTAACCCACGGCCATTTTCAGGAACCTTTTGAGGCCTCGTCATCATGGATCAACTTTCCATAATTGCTAGGCTCCCATTGGATTGCTCCATCATAGGCTGGCTATCTAGTTGGAATGTCATTTCCAATCAGTGGATTGGGTGGATTTGAGGCAGAGTCAAGGCTTTGGAACAGTAACGGGTGGCTGTTACACCTGCCTGTCAAAATCCAGGAACCTTCCATCTACAACATTCAACATTCATATGCCTTTGACACTCCGACTCCCGCGTGCCATTCGTTCTCAACTGCTTATTCCTGGCTGTCAATGAATTTTGAAAGTATGTGATCCTTCAAAAGCATGACCTTGTGCTCCCAAAGAATAACATGAGCAGACCGGGCTGCTATTTGCAGTCCACCAAATTGGGCTCGTAGGGCAAAGGTTCGTCACCCGCGTATCCACAGTGGGTACAATCCAACCTACGTACTTACGAAGCGTTCCCCGGAAGCAAATTTGGTATGGAAAGTCCGCTTCTTGTCGCATCGAGCAGTGGTTTTATCGCATACGTACATAAATTCATGGGAAATGTGATTAACACCATTTGCCCCCCCGTTCCTGGTTCATCCCACTCTGCCTTGCGCTTCCAAACGTCCTGTTGTTTGTCCACCGGTCCTTACGTATAGGCAATTTCACCAGGATCGTGTAAGTGATCTTCACTGAGGGGCTATATCTAACTTACCCTCTTCACTGATGTCCTCGGATAAACGGAATCCGCCTGTGCATCCGGTGGCGTTGCCAAGACTGCAAACGTTTACTCTTTCGGGTAATGTTAGGAGGCCTGGAGCCCTGAGGGCTGTCCGACAGATGTCTGATCTCTCAGTTCTACTCTTGATCCATACGGTCCGTCTTGTATCGTGTCTCTTTTATGAGTCCCCTAACCGCCCGTTTACATTAAAGACGTTTGTCATGGATCATCGCATATTTACGTCTGCAACATGCCATAATGGTTGTTGCCCATACCGGTGGCGATAGTCAATCCTTCCAGAACGATGGCGCCGACGTCGTTGCGCAGGGCTTGGCGAAAGAGCTCCAGACTGGGGAAGGAGGCTGCCAGGAACGCGGCGAGGTCCTGGACGCTAAACATCATCGCGAGGACAAAGGCGAAGGAGGTCACCTGTCCAGAATTAGCAAGTTGTACCAGTGGTAGCGATCTAACGAACAGTGAGGCAGACAAATCCGATAGCAATTGCCCCCATGATTGCAATAGGCACCATCCCCTCCGGCCGCTGAATCTCCTCCGCTAGGTGGACAGCTGCATCGAGGCCGCTAAAACCCCAGTTGGCATTGATTAACCCCACGATAAAAGCAATGCCGTCATTCTTCCAGCCAGTAGCATTGGAGAAGGTAGCGAAGACAAAGTTTGGGGAGGTGTGAGTTGCAGCACGTGCGGGAACCGCAATGAGAATGACGACGAAGGCACCGAGGCTGGTCCAAAGACACGCATTGCCGACGAAGGACAAGGTTCGTCCGTAGATATTAAAGAAGAAACAGAAGAGATTGACGAACTGGCATGCTACCAGCGTGTACCAAGGTTTTATTTTTCTACATTTGTCAGAAACTTTGTCCGGGCTTTTGGAGGAGAAAGGACATACAGTGCTGGATGGGACAGGATGTAAGACCCTACACAGGCCGATGCAACACCCGATGCAACACTGGCAGAGCTTTTGAATACAGGCTGCTCGTCAGCATATTGCTCAATCACAGACGGGAAAACATAAACCCAGAGCACAACTAACGCAAAGATTGACCCCGACCAGGCCAGCCAGCCGGTGATGGAGGAGGCAAGTCGAGCGTATTTGCGAGGGATCAGCTCCCTGGCCCAGAATGACTGTCCAGCAGCATTTGGCATGGCACTGACCAGTTCCGAAAGAGTTGCCGCCACGGCTGTGGAGACCAGGGCCAGCAAAATGCCCCCATAGACGAGTAAGGCTGACCCTCCGGAGTTGATGCCAGTTACCAGAGAGGCAGACACTCCCCACCACGAATTGGTCAGAGAATATGCTACACCCAGCACCGACAGCACCTAGTACTTTCGCTCCATCGGCTGTGAGTACCCCATCTCCTCGAGGCGCTGTGTGTCTGCATCCCTCACGGGTTTCCCCTCTTGAACTCGTGTCTCGGGGGCATGGGGATCGCTTGGGGCTACGTCGCCCGATTTCTTGACCTGAACCATTTGGATTGAGGAGGGATCTGGCAGAGATGATGGTCCTGCGTTGGGAGCAGAGCAGGACGGGAAGTTGGGGGCTACGTCGCTCCAAGATATAGGGTCCACCGGCCAGCTGCCCCCCCGACCCGGGCCATTCCGCGCGTGACCCTATTGAACACAGCCTTTTGAGGCTGGTTGAATGAGCAGCTCCAATCTGGCCAGTCTATCGCATTACTCTTCGATTGACACTGGGCATGGTCACTGTGAAAGATATACAATTATTTCCTACTACGATTCCTTTCCCCGCTCTTCCCCGCATTCTCCGCATTTCGGTGCAGCTCAATGGAGACATTGAGATCTCCACAATTGCTCTGTTGGTTGAGCGAGAAAGCTTCGGCATAATTGACAAATGACAGGTTCCTCTGGCTAGCATCCGGGGTTTGCCAGCTGTCGAAGATAGGCGCTTCGGCACTCTTCTGCCCTAACAGCACCAATCAACCCACCAACGATCTTCCACCATCGTCACCGTCACCGAAACGAAACAGTCCTCCCCCCTTCCCATTCCCCCATGACATCTCAATGACACCACCCTTCCAAGAGAAGAGAAAGAGCATTGCTGGGACTCGGACTGACTCCAGACCTGCCTATGGCGGGACACCGCCGACGATCTGCTGCCTGCCGCTACTGTCCCAACCAGCAATAATGCTGCCAAGCGGTGCTTTCCGGCATGTTACCCCCCGTTCAATGTCTCAATCATGAATTCTGTGGTGTTCTAGCAGGTGAAGGTGAAGGCGCGATGAAGGTCACGTGGCAGCCCCCCCCCCCCCCCCCCCCCAACAGGTGTGAGTGAGCAAGGGTAGTAATCCTGTGACTCGCAGAGACAGACAGTCATTTTACACATGTCTTCTCCTATGCTCATAGCTATGGCTATTCCCACTGACCCTGTTTGAGGGTATAAAGTAGCATTCCCAGGGTGTTCAGATGCCCTTGGCTCCCCTTTCACACCGGGCGGTGAAGGGCGGCAAGTGTGAGTCATTTCTGCTTCTTTTCGTGGGTGTTCATTTCGTACTTTGTTTACTCTGTTAGTACTTATTTACTTTATCATTACAAGACAGTCACCAAACACTCATCATGCTAACTCTCACCCTGGTCACCGGCAACAGGCACAAGATCTCTGAGCTCAATGCAATCTTAGGCAGCTCAGCCATCTTAAATTCAATCGACCTCGATCTGCCCGAGATCCAGGGCACCGTGGAAGAAATCACCCGGGAAAAATGCCGTGTGGCCGCCGAGAAGGTACCGCGAAGTGGTCGAACTTTGACTGGCGCAAACTGAACCCATTCAATAGATCGCTGGTCCGGTCCTAGTCGAGGACTCTGCGCTGGAAATGCATGCTCTGAACCGTCTGCCGGGGCCTTATGTGTTCGTCCGCCCTGTCTTTCTGTTGTGCTTGAGTGGGAAAGGCTGACTGATGGGCGTGTGGCGACCAATACAGTAAGGCTTTTGTAGAGAGCGTCGGCAACGAGGGCCTCTACAAGATGCTTGCTGCTTTTGAGGATAAGACCGCCGAAGCCGTCTGTACCATAGGCTATTCTGCAGGACCAGGGGCCGAGCCAGTCCTCTTCCAGGGGAGGCTATTGGTGAGTACTACAGTACTACCCTGGAATCATATCGCTTGGCAATTCACTCATCTCAACCAGGGCAAGATAGTCCCCGCGAGGGGTGCCTCCTCGTTTGGTAGGCTTTGTCTTCAATTGGCATGTCCGGTCACTAACAGCAATCCAGGGTGGGAACCCATCTTCGAACATGGCGGGGAGACATTGGCCGAGATGGATGTGGACAAGAAGGCAAGAACAACTAGCATGTTGCATGATGGCACCGTCTTGCTCACACAATACATAGAATGGACTGTCTCATCGATTCAACGCCGCGCAGAAGTTGAGCGAGTGGTTGAAACGGAATGAAGGGACGGTATAGTGTAAGCGACCCAGCTTTGCCTTTATCTTCACAAATCGTGATTCGCCCTGAAAGAACCTAATGCTGATACTCATGCACCAGCCATATGAAACTTACAAACAAGCAGCCCGACCCCAATCGATAGAATAGAATTTCCATGTTCCAAATTGGTCATGTGTCAAACCTACCTAGCGTTCTTTCATAGATTGGAAGTAAAATGAAGAGACCAGGCCAGTTCCACGTTATTGCTACATCATATGGGCTTCCAAGGCAAACTCCTCCCGCAATACATCGGACAAAAGCTTGACACCCTCGCTCAAATCCTTCACCAGTGCAGCCGCAGACGTCAATCGGATGTAGAACATTCCCTGGCGCTTCGGGCTAGGCGAGAATAATGACCCCTTCGTGACCTGCACTCCTTGCTCTAGAGACCTCGACACAATCCGACTTTCCATCTCGACCAAAAAAGTCTCCATACTGAATTCGGTTGTCGTCTGGTGGCGAAGCAGGGGGTGCTGGCGGTAATCGAGCTGCAGCCAGAGAAACATCCCATACTGGGGACAATTCCAAGACACAAGTCCGCGAGGGAGATACTTTTCACAAGCCCGCACCAGAATATCACGACGTAACTGGTACTGCCGTGAGAGATTCGACAGCCACAACAAAAAGCCTTCGTGACCCCACGTCTCATCGAGCAATTTCCAAAGCATGAGCTGCGTCGGCCCATTGACTCCCAGTGTCGAGACCTCCTGGTAGGCCACGAATTTGCGAATGGCCTGCAATGAGGCAGTCACCCACCCAGCACGAAGACCAGGCGCCAGGATCTTGGATGTTGAATCTAAGCGGACGACGCGACCAGATCGATCGATCGAGAGATAGGATGGGACTGCCTGCGCCTGAAACCTGTCGATGGCGGTGAGCACGCTATCACCTCCATTACCCTGCCCATTGAGCTCGTTGGCACACTGCATGCCCAGACGCAGACAGTAATATGGGTCATCTTCGATGATAATCAGGTCGTGTGTCTCCGCAATCTGATATATCTGTTCCCGTCTAGGCAGACCCTGAGTAACCCCGGTCGGGTTTTGCCCGGTGGGGATCATGTACAAGACACGTGGCTTGGAAGAAGCCGAGGTGTCCCAGTTTCGTAGTATCTCGTCCAAGACATCCGGGCGCAGTCCTTCTGCATCCATGGCCACTCCCTGCACTCGGATGCCCTGCAGGCCTGCTCTTTCCACGGCGCCAGGGTAGGTATAGCACTCAGTGAGAATAGTATCTCCTCGGTTGCAGAAGATCCGGTAAGCAATGTCCAGCGCAGACGTCGAGCCGCACGAAAGACAGACGGCCCAGTCGGAGTACCGCGGTTGATGCATCATCTCCACGTGTTCTGTAAAGAATCGGAGTAGATGAGGGAAGCCAGCCCCACTGCTGTAGTTGAGCCCATTGGCCAGATTGAACGTGTCCGTGTACTTGGCTATCGTGGTCTGATGACTGGAAGGCTCGCCGGCTAGTGTGGGTGGCATCGACTCGATTGTCACCGAGTCCCATGGATAGTAGTCTGCGGTGGGCCGTCCGGTGCCCAGGGAGATGACCTTGCGGTCACTGGGCTGGTTTGCGGACTCTTTCAACGCTGAACCTTCAAAGCCCCGACTTTCGATACTCCAATGATCGTCCCATCGCTTTGCGAGAGGAAGACTGCGTGTGTGGGTGGATTTGAAGGCATTCGAGGAATTAACGGGGGCGATGGCGAACGGCAAGGGCTCCGACTGCGCCCGGAGAGCCTTGATGGAGGCGGGCTGTAGAGGCGGCATTTCAATTATGGCTTGGAATTTGAGGCAGGTACTGAAAAACAAGAATAGTCGCAAGCATGCACATCCTGTCGACGTATTGTAGGGGTCGATAAATCGAGATAAATAAAGGTGCTTTGCGTGATGAGGCACACGCCGAACACGCCGATACTTCTCCGGCCCGCGGCAAGCCCCGTCTTCGATTCCTACCCTATCCCGAAGATAAGTCGGAGTGATTGAACACGCCGAGAAATCCAAATCTCGAGCTAAATGGTGCCATTCATTTCTCAATGGTTCATGCACTATAAAGTCCACTCTGTTGTCGACAGGGCCTCGGAAGTCGGGAGCTCGCCTTCACATTCTTGTCATTTTCTACCCCCAAGACCAGCCACTCTCACTACCATGTCCTCAGTTACTTTGGCTGAGTATCTTTTCACACGCCTCTGGCAGTTGGGAGTTCGCTCCCTTCATGGCGTACCAGGTGACTTCAACCTCCGCCTGCTGGATTACGTGGAGCCGACGGGGCTGCGATGGGTGGGCAATGCCAACGAACTCAATGCTGGCTATGCCGCCGATGGATATGCTCGTATCAAAGGAGTTGGTGCCCTGATCACCACCTTTGGTGTCGGAGAGCTGTCAGCTATCAACGCCATCGCAGGTGCCTTCGCTGAACGTGCTGCGGTAGTGCACATCGTCGGAACCCCCTCTCGCGAGACGCAAGACCAGCGTCAGTTAGTCCATCATACCTTCAACGACGGCGAGTACCGCCGATTTGCACAAATGGCGTCTCATGTCACGGTCGCTCAGACGCGGCTGTGGGATCCGCAAACCAGCCCTGCCCAGATAGACGAGGTTTTGCAGCAATGTTTGCGGCATAGCCGTCCGGTGTATATCGAAATCCCTGTGGACATGGTTGATCAACCTGTACTGGTTGAGCGGCTGGGTCGTCCTCTCACGTTATCGCAGCTTCCACCGGTCTCGTGTTCCAAGGTCGTGCTGGCGCGTATCTTCAAGAGGATGTATGCTGCCAAACGACCAGTCATTGTGGTTGATGGAGAAAGCCGACCGATGGGAATTCTTGGACAGCTGAAACGTTTCATCACCACCACCCAATGGCCATTCTGGACCACGGCGTACGGGAAAGGCCTGCTGGACGAGACCACGTCAAACTGCCACGGGGTTTATCGGGGTAGATTCGATAGTCCCGAGGTGCAAGCATACGTGAACGGGGCCGACTTGGTTCTGTACTTTGGTCCCCATTTGAGCTCGACCAACACCTTTTCATGTTCAGCCATCCCGAAGGACGAGGTAGCCATCTACATCTCGGACACGGAGGTTCGATTCGGTCAAGAAGTCATTCGCGATATTTCCGCTCAACACCTGCTATCACAAATTCTGGAGGGACTGGATGTTCAAAAATTCGGGTCTGACAATGCTCACCAAGGCCTTCCCCGCCTCTCGTCGCTGACGTTGTCTGACGTTGCTGGCCCGAGCCCCGTTACCCAGGACCGTTTGTGGCGGCTTCTCGCAGGATATCTTCGACCCGGGGACATTGTTCTGGGAGAGACGGGGACTGCCGGGTATGGAGTGCGAGAGATGGCTCTACCTCGTCATGGTCGCGTCTTCACTCCAGTCACTTGGCTTTCAATTGGGTATATGCTTCCTGCATCTCAAGGAGCTGCCCTTGGTCAGCGAGAATTGATGATGGCGGACGAGTATCACGGCATCCGCGATGCACGCACAATCCTGCTCATCGGGGATGGTAGTTTCCAGATGACGGCGCAAGAGCTGGGGACCGTCATCCGGTTGGAGTTGAATGTGGTGGTATTCGTCATCAACAACGATGGATACACCATCGAACGTTGCATCCACGGGCGTCAACGGGTGTACAACGACATCACTCCATGGCGGTACTTGCAGGCTCCTCAACTCTTTGGTGGGGGCGATGAGGTTTACACAGCCTCTGCTCGCAGTTGGGATGAGCTGGGAGGGATTCTCAGCACGGATCAGCTGTGGAAAGGATCCGGATTGCGCATGGTGGAGATTGTATGTGATCGGGAAGATGCCCCGGGTGGTCCGTTGATGGAGTATATGCAGAGACAGAACAGTGTGTAGAGTAGTTGTGTACAGTAGTTGCCAAAAGAACCGAAGAGATGAGATGAGATGCATCTTGGGTGAATGCCTGAAGGACCAGGCAAGAACCAGACGGCAATTGAAGCCTCACCGCCTTCCTCAACCCACCGAAATGTTTCCTCTCCGCTCCACTCCGATGACTCTCCGATGACTCTCCGAACCGAGCATCAACTTCCAATTCTTCTCCGTACTCATCCTGTTGGTTTGGCGTCAGTCAACATTCCCTCTGCCTTGAATGATATCCAGGCAGCCTGCCTGCGAGCCATGCCGCAAGTCCAAGCTCGCCTGCGATCATACCCACCCGGTATGTACGCGTTGCCGTACCAGCAACCGAACCGGACTGTGTCTCTATCGCTCCACCCCCTTCAAGAGGAAGCGGCCTCTGACATCAAACGAAAACCCTGAAGAGTCGCGCTCGTCTCCGAGGTAGAGCAATCCTTTATTCTTCTTATTCCCGGCGGCGACTCTTGTTGCTGATTATTCTCATGCCAGTCGCGACCCCTTTTCAACGCCCTCCGCCCGGTCCTCTCGTCGTCAGCGGTATCCCAACCCCGGATACATCGGCTCCTCCAGTCATGTGGCGATCTTTAGCCATATCCCCCCGACGGCATCGGATCAGACTGTGGCACCGCAGTTGGCTGAGCCTACGGCCCCTACAACAAGGGTGGACATGAACGATGACGATGCACTGCTTCAGCGCGCGGCGGACGCAACCCGGCTGCTGTTGGCTCATGCACCTCTGCAATCCATGAAAGACCTGGTCCACTTGTGGCTGTCGAGTGGTGCTAACTTAGCACTGGGAGGTGCCTTGCTTGGAAATACCATCGACAGTATTGACCTTGCATTGACCTCCATGTCGACCAATGCGAATTGGCATCGACGATATGCTGAACTTCTGCTGCGTAATTCGGCGCAGACCCTGCATAGCAACTCGTCTTTGACCTTGGCAGAATTCTGCGCTCAGTTCACCGAACATAACATTAGATGGGAGACCTTGGGCCTCTTTGCTCTGGCGGTGATTCGTGCCTCGTATGATGTGCCATATTTCGCACCGTTGTATTCGAAGGACAATGGCATATATGATCTTCGAAAGCGATGCTTCCGTGTCGCAAACTGTGCTCTCGAGATAGCCTTGTCGTTGGACCAGCTCAACGACCTGCAGCTAGTACTTCAGTACGAAAACCTCATCGTTCATTCGTACATAGCAGGCGATCAGAGTCAGTGCAGCTCCCCCTCCGGGCTATGCCAGTTCCTGTGCACTGACGAGACCCAGGCTATCAGTATTGGAGACGACTTGGGGATGGAATTGCGTCAATCTTTGCTCTCGGGTATCATCAGACCAACGGTCTGGAGCGGAATGCCCCTGTTTTTCTCCAAGAGCTGCGTCGCACTGCATTCGCGCGAATCTTCTCCGCCGATAAGAATATGGCCATTTTCCTCGGTCGACCTCCGCGGATGCCACGCCATTTCTGCGACTTTCAGATCCCATCGGCTCCTGCGGGTACCAGCCACTGGGCTCTGTCTTCAGACCCAGGTGAAATCACTCCCGATTGGAGCCCAGCAGCTGTCCCCTCCTATGTGGCTGAGTCACGGTGGTCGGCGTTGTGTGCAAGCCTGAAGGAAGATATCTTATACCTGCAACGCGACAGGAAGAGCGACCAGTTCCAGCAGCAAGTCCGGTATTCCCATTCATCGCCATGAAACGTAAAAGAGCTCTACTAATCTTGCTAGCATTATACAAGCACAAGCTGAGAAACTGTGGGATGAGCTCCCGCGACAGTTCCGGTTGGAGGGAAGCCTGAAGGAGACCACAAAGGACGGATTTGAGAGGGACTCTCTCGCCAGCTTCCAGCTCAATCACTTGCATGTCCTGTTTCTTCTTCGCCTTGTGGTCCTACCCTCTCCTGCCACCCCCAGTCAGGAGCTTGTAACCCTCGCCGAGCAAATTTTGGCCACTGTTGTCGCCTTAATAATGCTGCGCGACCAGCTCACAAATTCGGGCACAAGTCTGATGTGGAAGGTATGAATGAGGCGGATCGATGAGCAGCGTCGAGTAGAACATAAACTGATTCAGGCCTGTCAGATCGTGCATTATGGCCTTCCTGCCGCGGGCATCATTCTCTTAGCCGTGTTGAACCAACGTTGTTCGTCCGCTCCGGTCCCGGCCCCTCATCCACGGGCGATCCAGAACCTGACTGTTTTGGCTGCGGAGCTGTCAGGTGGATCAGTGGTGCAACTGCAAGACCCTAATTACGATCTGATTTCCAGGGCATTGTCCACGATCCACAACATGCTGGATTCAATTACAGCGGATGCACTGCGGGGACCGGGAGCGCCGTCTCCCCGCACCACGACCCTGGCCGACTGGGAAGGATTTCAAAGCCAGCTCTCGTGGGACCTGGACCTTGGGTTCTGGCAGAATCTGGCCGATACCCCATTTTTGGGAGACTAAACGAGCACCTCAGCCTGTTTCAGGGAAGGAGCAGGGAGATCCATGATACGTAGGCAAGACACTAACCGAAAAGAGAAATGATGTTGCCTGCCGTGAATGGGCACCATGACGACATCATAGTGATGTATTTTCAAAAACCCCCTCCCCGTAGGGCTGAACAAAGTCTTTCTTGGCTTTAAAGCTTGGCTACGATCGCCATTGCTTTACATGCCCATCGTTTCCGTCCTGAATAAACTGTCTTCATCTTCCATGGCTTCCTCCCGGTCGGTGCCGATCCTTGATCACCTCCCTGAGCATCTCCGTCCTCCGTCTTGGCGCGTGTTACTGATGAACAACTCACAGAATTCGACATGATCCCAACTGGTCCGTCCGCCAAGGCCTGGCTGGCTCATTCTTAAAACTCTTCCTTCGGACCTACACGGCCTGTCACTTCAGATGGCCCATTTCACTGAAGCCACACCATGAGGGGGAGCGATTTGTGGTGATTGATCCCGCCAACACGCACTTTTACACAGGCGTTGCAGTGGATCAAGAAGTCAAGCCTGAGGCCGTCGGGGCCACGTGGTTTCCTGAACCTTGCATTGACGCCATTTCCATTCCTGATGGGCAATACGTCGTGCTTCATCTTCACGGCGGCTCGTACGTGCTGGGTGATGGACGCACCTCCTCCTGCAACTTCCTCGCGAAGACACTCCTCAACCACACACCGGCCAGTCACATCTTGTGCTTACAATACCGACTCGCCTGCTACCCGAATGGCCGATTCCCGGCCCAGTTACAGGATACCCTCACTGCGTATGTCTACCTCATTCACACCCTACAGATCCCTTCATCCCGCATCGTGCTATCCGGCGATAGCTCAGGGGGACATCTTGCGCTGGCCCTGCTGCGCTACATCGTCGAGTACGGCGACCCGTCCCGACTCCCACCTCCACAGTGCAGCTGGCTCTGGTCGCCATGGTGCGATGTCCCCGCCGCAGTGGACCCGGACAGTTGGACCCAAAGCGAAAACTACGGCACCGAGTACATCCCAGGCTCCTTTCCCACCTGGGGCGCCCGGCAATTCCTGCGCGACCTGGCCATCACAGAGACAGTGGAGCGGTACGTGGCACCCATCCACCATCCGTTCATACTCCCCTCGCCCGTGTTGATCATCACGGGAGGTCGTGAGGTTCTATTCCCGGATCACCAGGAGCTGGTCCGACGGTTCCAGGAATTTGCCGGCAAGGAATCACAGATTGAGCTGGTGGTGGAAGAGAAGGTGCCTCACGACGTCCTCATGATTGGCTGGATTATGAGGTTCCATCAGGAAGCGGAGGCTTGTGCTCGACAAGCGGGGGATTTTGTGCGGCGCGTGGGGGCCGCAGAGAGGTCTGGGGTGACAGAGCAGGCACGATGATGACTGCAATGATCACGATCAGAATTGAGCGTTGAATGTACTATCATGTAGCTTGAAGAATTTACATCAGCAATCGAGTACCCAGCGCAACGGGAAAGTAAGCCCCGGGGCATAGTCGGCCATAAGCCGGACCATTCTCCGTGACATGTTGGTCCTATTAGCGCCTCCGAACCCCCCTTCCCAGCCTTCCTGTCACCGTTGTGCTGCAGTGAGGGCACCGAGTGTAATTTCAATGCACAGTGCACGGCGGAGAAAGCCCGTAAGCCACCACCGTAAATGTCCGAATGGCATATATCTCGCATTCTTCGGAGGATGACAACCGTCAGCTCGGGCCCTCGCATCGTGGGCCTTGAGCCCAGCCTGAAGGTGTGGGAGCGCCGGAGTCCGGAGTTTTTCAAGTGCGCCCCACCGTTCGCTCCTGCAGAATGCTGCTGATGCTTATGGGTTCCGCGGGACGGGGAGCTGACGCGGTCTGTGGGATAAAGTTTGTACCTATTCAGTTTCAGGGCCGTTGAATGAGGTTGCATCGCTGAGGTGTAAAAGAAGCTCATTCTGACGTCAAAATAAGCAGCTCTTTCTCTCCCTGACAAGCTCAAAACTCATTCTTCATGGCAGTACGTAACCAATTCAAGCCTTGAATACGAGGCAGTTCTAACGGTGTTTGCTCATCCTGCTGTTCCTGCTCCGTCCGAGTCGTCCTCAAATGCACCCTGTGGTCCGGGCTGAGATAAGCACTAAATGGACCCTAATCTGTTTCTTGACCAAATTCCGGAGCGACGCCCGTTTCGAGCCATCCCAAGTCCTGCAGGATCATCGGACCTTCGAGACTGGGATTTGTATTTCCTGACAAATTTCGGATCCCAGTTAATAATGCGCGGAGACCATGTCGGCACCTAGAAAATCAGCCTCATGTTGCTGTATATAAAAAGGGTTCCACGCGATAGATGAGCAGTCGACAAGTTGCTGGAGCATTCCTCGCGGTTCAAGATGCAACTCACCACGGCCATTCTCCTGATTGCTGGCTTGTGCACCTCGGTGCATAGCCAGGGCTTTGCGGACGATTGCACCGATATCTATCTCCTGGAAAATTGGCTGGTGGGCACTTGTCCGACCAGCGACGGGAGTGGAACTATCACCAGTAGTGTCTATCTCCCCAACAAGATCACCAACAGCGAAGCCACGCTAGCGGTATGTTCCTCCTCTTCCTCTTTCTGGGGGAACTCTGGTCGTCAGGGCTTGTGCTGACCTACTGCTATCAGTGGAAAACCGAGTAAGTTCATCGTCCTGCCCCATGCGTCGACGCCGAGTATTGAGTCCCGTAGCGGTGCGTATTCGCAGTCCTGCAGCGAATGCATCCTGCTCGATGAGGGAGCGACTCTGCAGTGCTACTGCAAGTCCACCTACGCAGCGAACAGCAAGAACACGACCTTAAACCTGGGTAAGAGATCTTCCCCAGCCGAAGACTGCTCCGTGCTGATAGTGCCGCAGAGGAGCACATCGCCAACTACGATGGACATCTGCTCTCCAACCTGACCGGCAGCGTCACCTCCATCCCGGCCGACTCGTCCTGGCCGATCCCCTCCGACTTTGAGGTGCAGCTGCAGGTCTCCAGCCTGAACAACAACTGCTCGACGATCGGGGGGTATCTGACTCTCAACGATCCGCAGGACTGCTACTATCTCAACCTGGGGGTGGAGTACTACTGGTACGCGGCGACGACAGTCAACAACCTGGGGTGGAAGATTGTGGCGTACCACGACAGCACGTGCAGCGGGGAGGCAGTGGGCACGTTCACGCCGGAGAATGTCGACACTTGCCTCACCTTTGAGGATGGAGTCTCCGGGTTTGCCGTCATTCCGCTGTGGAATGCCGACTGATTCACTGTTTGATGTGGTTGATGTGTTTGGAGTGTTTGCTGTGTTTGCTGTTTTGGTAGTCAGTCGGGTCGGAGCGGATCGGAGAAAGTCCGAGGCCGAGTCAGGCTGAGCAAATGTTGCAAATGTTGCAAACATCATGGATGACTCGGTTGTGGAATCTGAACAACCTCACTGCACTGCATCTTCATTGCGTAACTGTCAAAATATTCTATATCTGCATAATGGGTCGCTTATCGAGATAGTCCTTTTAGTCCTTTCCATGATTTGCAACAGAATCATTCCTCTGTATGCTCCAGACACCCTACACCTCTCCATGACTACAGCTTACCCTGTCGGTGGGGCAAGGGGTCTGGACGTGGGCCTGTGCACTGCCCAAATCCATGGCTGCAATTTGCAGACTCTAATTAAAGCAGTTTTGGTGCCTGCTTGCCTAAATTTCCAGCCACTGACGGCTCTCTCATTCGCAGACTAGTGCACTCCCAGGTTCCCTCGTGTCCATAATTGGTGAGGCTGACTCCATTTTCAGGGTCTTGCCGAGCCTCAATACGAGATGGTGCTTGCTTTTGAACCCCCATTAAAAAGGGGCTCAGCCGCTGAAGATTCATCCATGCCTCTGCGGCAGTGACACAATTCATCGGTTGACAATGTCCGGCGCGAACTTTGCCTGCATAGAATGACTGCCCATGACCGCATCCAGTGGCTGGATGGCCTCCGCGGCATCGCAGCGGCGATTGTGGCCTTTGACCACTACTTTATGAGCGATGTCTGGCACCCTTTCGTCTCCTTCTGGGCTGAACCCCCCGAGGCCAATCGGCACTTGGTGCAGCTTCCTCCCATCCGCATTCTTTTCTCCGCCCATTCGATGGTGACTCTGTTCATGGTGATCTCCGGTTTTGCCATCTCCGTCAGTCTGCTCAAAGCCCGCCACAGCCCGCAGTTTCTGCCGCGAGTGACCTCCGCCATCGTGCGGCGCCTCTTTCGCATTTATCTGCCAGTGGTTGTCCTGGCCACCCTGAGCCAGGTCTTATTCTTCTTCGATTTGTACCACTGGACTTTCGACGAGGGGTTCCTCGATGGACTTCAACCCTGGACCAAACCGTGGGCCCACATCAAGTGGTTGTGTGGCTACATGGCCGATAGCATCAATGTCATCGCCTTTGAGTATCGCGGCGGTCTGAACGGCCAGCTATGGACTATGCCTCTAGAATTCCGCGGATCCAACGTGGTGTTTCTACTGACTGTCGGATTGTCGGCATGGCGTCCCAAGCTCCGACTCTGGGCTCTGCCCCTCCTGGCGGGGTTCTTCCTATGGGCTGGCAACTGGGACATTTTCGGATTCATCTGGGGCCTGTGGCTGGCGGAGCGGGCGATCAACACTACCTCTGTGGCGAGCGCGATGGCAGATGACGACCTCGACGACGAGGAGAAACTGTCCCGGCCGTCCTGTTCTACCGCGCAATGCAGGTTCCGGTCCTCGCTACGAAAGCTCTTCACTCTTTCCCGGATGATCACCTCCCTCACCTTCGTGGTCGGATACTATCTCCTCTGCCTCGGTAGCGACGGCCAGCTGCCCCCGGGCTACCAGTTCCTCGCTGCCCTCCAGCCTGCCAAGTGGAAGGACCGGTGGGAGATCTACCATTGGTGCTGGAAGTCCGTGGGCGCCGCGTGTTTGGTCTATGCGATCGCCCAGTCCCCGTGGCTGCAAAAGCCCCTCAACACCCAGCCCGTGCAGTATCTTGGCAAGATCTCGTTCTCGCTGTACCTGCTCCACGAGACCATTTACCAGCTGTGGCGCAATCCCCTGCGAGATTTTGTGTATCTGCTGGCGAGCGGGAACCCGTACCTGACTAGTGCGGAGGCCCTGCGAGATGATCTGTTCGCGTTCCATGTGGCCTGGTGGGGGTCTGGGATTTTGTTAGGTACGGTGGTAGTTTTTGCGTCGCATTACTACACTCTGTATGTGGACAATAAGTGTGTGGCGCTGGCGAAGAGGTTGGAGCAATTGTTTACTTCATGATTCTGTACAGTACCTCGAGTCCCCACGTACCTGTCGCACCTTCCCACCAAACTCCTATGTCAAGGATATACTATTTCCAGCAGTATCACGACATTAACAAGACCGCTTGTTCTCTGGTGACGGTATGTTTGGAATTCACTCAAGGGGCTACTCTTTGATTTACTAGATTTTATCTAGAAGACAAAGGAAAGCATCTCAACTCCAGCATATTGACTCTAGTAAGTTCAATACTGCGGAAAACATGAAAAGTCTAAGCCATGAGATATCTGAAAGAGCATTTGACGGGGCCTCGTACTTAGTTAGAAGCTTTGGAGAAGTGCTGCTGCCTTATTTACTGCGAAACGTGCCGTCAAGAGTCGGGGAGGACTTACTGCTTTATTTGTTCAACAACGGGCTCGTTTTCACTTACTTGCCCGAGACGCGTCGCCGTCATGATAGCTTTAGCTTTATAGGGATTGTAGACCTAATCCGAAAAAAACCAATAGTTCTCTATTGTAAGGGGGTTAGTTATGTGTGTTGCTTTGTAGAATAATCCTCACTTTATATTCCCAGATATTGCGCGAAATCACGAAAAGAAATCTGGAAAATCTGAATGGTACTTGAAAGGACTTTGCATGTTGAAGTTGAAGAGAACCGTGTTGTGTGATTGTGTGGAAGAAGTAGCGGAAAAGCGGTAGAAAATGTGCTGTTCGGCAAATATGTGGAGGACTGCCAGTAGGTACGCCAGAAGTAGGCCCGGATTGAGTAACTGCATAAAATTGCTTACAGTGCTAGCCCGAACAGGTAAAACAGCCCAGCTGGGTCCATGTGGAATGTTCGCTCCCATCAATGAATCAGAGTTTTCTAATAGTACTGGTCCCTCGACGCCAGGGTCTGAAGGCTGGGTCTCAGCCGCCAATTGTCTTTGCCCGGATAGTGGAGGCCATCTGCGACAGGGTCTATACACGGATCCACCTTTCTAAAGACATCAATATATTTGCGAGGACCCTGCGGCTCTGTGATACCGTAGGACTTTGGTTCACCCTTCGAGATCACCAGGTGCGAATCCTGGTCTCGATATAGGCCTCCTTGCTATGTAGCAGTGCTTGACTATGTACTAATGGCTTCCGCCTCCTAGACGGCGAAACGTGCAAGGCTCTACTAGCACGGCCTTGTACCCAGGAAACTCAGGAAGGAAAGATGGCAGCAGCAGCAGATCATGAATCTGGAGTCACCTTGTCTAAGTATAACCTCCTACTGAGTAAATACTACTACAGTAAAAGGGACACAACATTAGCCGCACACGTAGTGCTGGGTCAAACGGGGTTGGTTCTTGAATAGGAAAGCAACCTCCGTAATGGAAGTCTACAGTGGGTTTCCAGTGACCGTGCGATAGTGATCGCTGGCTCCGAGCCCCTGCACATCGAACGACTTGACCTCAAGGTTCTCGGATAGCCTCCACTGCTTACCAGGTGTCAAGTTGCATTCACCCCATATGCTATCAAGCGTTTCTTGGTGTTACCTAGAAGGTACTCACTTCGGAGTCCACGAAGGATTTATAAAGAGGTGCTTGTAGTACCTTCAATCCTACTTCTTCATTATAATCCTCAACCACATTATCTGAATACCAAAGCCTCAAGACTTCCAAGACCTTTTACAGATCTCCTTTCCCTCCACCGTCAAAATGAAGTTCACTTCCGCTATCGCTACCGCCGTTCTTGGCTACTCTGCTGCCTTCGCTGCTCCCTCCAAGTGGGACGTTGCCGACGCCACCACTGGAACCCTGACAGTCACCGACGCTAAGATTGACATCAGCGCGGCCAACAAGGTGACTGATGTCTCCTTCACGCTGGCCGATGGCGACAAACATGTGAGCTGCATGGCTCGGAACCCCAAGCTCACCTACCTGTCCACCGCAGCCAGTGCTTGCAGCGACAGCAAGTACCTGTTCAACCTCATCGATTCCGGTCTCTCGAGCTTTGAGGTTGCTATCATGTATTCGTACGGCGATCTGTAAGTATCGGACTGGCCTTGAGTTTACCTGTCCTGATAGTCATACCCAAACCGAAAGAGACCACAATGTCAATTACTAATGAAGGCGATAGGGGTTCTGGCGAGTACTCGCCTGGGCAGTGGGGCGTTGGTAACCTCTTCCTCGGCTGCAAGAGCAGCGGCAGCGGTCGCGTCTGCACTTCTTCTGCCCCTAGCACTGTGTTTATCTCTGAACAGTAATCGATTGGGTCTCTTTCACCGAGCCCGGCAAGATCACGGCCGCTATCCGATGAAGTCCGACGGAGTAGGGCTTGTTCTGGAAATCGGTGTGGGGGGTCGCTGTTGTTTCCTTTCACATCTACAATCGTCTACGTCTGTCCAGTTGTAACTCATTCCCGTCACTCGTTTCTCATCTGGCGAATTAGTATACGAGCCTGATTCTCTGTCTCAATTGATGCGGTTGTGCTAGAATATAATCCTGTGCAATCCAGTCTTGCAGGGCAAGTGTCATGTATCTGGTGCACTCTGCACGGCAAATCACACATTAACTTGAACCTGCCACGTCTACTGACCAGGAACGATCTCGCAGCGAATGGCACAATCCAGATTCGTAACGATTGGCCGGCTTACTGTAGATTCTCAAACCTATCATTTCCGTTTTTACCTCGCATCATTCCATGTTTGTTGTCCTGATTCGCTTCTACACCATGTGGTCTACTGCAGTCTGCTGGGCGGCACTCAGCAAACATCTACAATGGCCCCGCAAGTTCATGCTTCTACAACAGCTTAAACAATCATTGTTTCATCAGAATGAGCCAAGCATATCCAAAGTCAGCGATCTCGAACAATGATCAGATTTCCCCAGAACAGCCCACCCCCTGGACCCCACTTTGAGCACGATAACAAGACTCCCCAACCCGCCTCCTCTAAACGGCGTCATCCCCTACTGCGCCGTCCCCACAATGTTGTTGAAGGTAGCATAGTTGACCGTCGAATCCGGCAAGCTCTCCTCCCTCTCGGCACAAGTGACGGAGATATCCAGCGGGCCCTTGCTCCACTTCCCGAGCAGACTCTTGCTGCCGGAGAGCTTGGGCGGCACGACGAGCTGGTAGGTGTGGTCGTCGCCGTCGATCTTGGAGACGCGCACAGTCTCGGCCGGGGTCCAGGTGCTCTTCTCCGCCTTGATGTAGGCGTCGATCTTGTCCTTCTTGTACCAGATCTCGCCGTCAGTGCCGTATGTCTTGGGGATCCAGGCTTTGGTGGCTGCGGCGAACTTGGTCTTGTCGGCGTAGATGACGCAATACCTTTCCTCTATCAGTGCTGGCAGCATGAAGGGCAAGGGGATGGATTGCTTACCAGTCAGTGGCGGAACCGGCCCATCCACCGCGATTCGCGGTCAGATAGGTGCCCTCACCCAGCTGGATGTTGGCGCGGTTGCCCTCGTAGGTGAGGGTGCCGGCTTTGTTGTACTTGGCGGCTTGGTCCTAGGGCGTTGTTAGCATAGGTCATAGCAACTAGGAATGGGGATAGGTTTTGAAGCGTCGTACCTTGCTCACGGTGCGGTAGCCGATGATGATGTTCGACG